ATTATAGTAGAAAGGTGCACTTACACCGAATTCATCAACGTGGTATCGTGGTTTATAACAATCACTTTAGGCATCTCTTCTTGGTCGTTCAACATTGTCCGACACACCTCTAAGGCCCAAGTAACATTCTCCTTTTTTTTCGCTCTCTAGAAATGCAAACCTAACGTAATATGTCTTCTCAGTAGAGGTAACGTCAACCATCTCCAATAATGGAAGTATGTACTTATTGGTCTTGTACGTTGAGTCAATTATGAGCACCTTTATTGGTTGCTCCATCATTGCACGTTCGGTACCAAGACACATAACTGTTATCATCCAAAAATTTCAAGAGTTGTTGCATTTCAGTTCCCCCCCCCCTTAGTGCCCTGTTAGTTTGGTACTGAATATTGTTCTCTTCCGACATGAGACGACACACAATTTGATGATCGACTGACTTTTCACACAAGTCATGGATATGTAAACCACATATGACATTAAATCTCAATTTCTTGTTTCCCAAAAATAACCACGTAACTTAAAGAGACACTCATATTTTCTTAAACCGGTGTCACCTTGTTGAAAATTTCAGAGAGGATGCTATAGTTTCCACTTCTTTCACACGTCATTGTCACAAATACACATCTTCTATCCAAATAATTATCAGACCTTCCGATTACCACACCAAATCCCAGTTTAGAGGCCTTTGTACGAATCCATTGAAACATGTGATCACGAAATTCAAACTCTTGTAACATTTAAATTGGTTTCCAACATCTACTGCCTTCACAACAACACCTTTGGCACCCGAAAACAAAACATGTTTGAGGAAAACATCGGGGTGCACCATATCTAATGAAAACAATTATAATAAAACACACAATAAATGCTAATGCTGTAAATATAGCTGAAAAATGATAACAAACAGATACCAAAAATGCATTTCTAGATGTGTTCATACTCATTCCGAAAATGTACCTCTAGAATAAACGCACATTTTCAGTCTGAAAACAAGATTAATGTGAGCATTGAGACTTGAAATAAATGATCTTTACTTGAAATTTCAACTTCTTTTTCCCCCTTTGATGTGATGAAACACAAGATTCAAGATTTGCAGTGAGTGCATAAGGGTTTTTGGTAAGGGTTTGGAGTGGAAAACAAGTTTGGTTGTGTGATCATGCAGTTCATTGTTTTTATCAAATTATTCCGGAGATGTATCTCCAAAAACATCAGACATGCAAATGTCACATAAATTTAAAATTTTCGCCCCAAACCTTCGAAGATGTATCTCTAGAATGTCCAATAAACTGATCAACTATGAATATATTTGTTAAAAATAGCCAAGATACAATTCCAAAATATTTTTTATTATTAATATAGGGTGAGACTCATTTGATATGTCATAACATTGTGCATAGTACGTTCAGAAATGTATCTACAAAAATTGATGGACAATAAAAAAAAATTTCCACCATAAATATTTTCCTATAATATCTTGTACATATGGACATAACAACAAAGAAAAGAAAGAGGAAATTTTCTCTATTTTTTCCCTCCCAAACTCTACGTTTTTATTTGATGAAAAAGAGTATATGAAAGAAAACAATTTATTGCACTCTTGTGATAATAAGAAAAATCATGCAAACTTTACACAATGCGAGAGATATAAACAACAGTGAGATTGAAATAAAAATTTAAAGCATCAAGAACAAAACCATAATATTTATAATACATGTTTGTAATGCTATAAAATGAAACAATAATTTGAGAAAGCACTTTGTCAATTTTTTAAAATTATTAATTTATAAATATTAACAATTTAAATTATATTATTAAATAAATATAAATAAATATTACAGTTAAAAATTAAACTATATATCGATATTTTTCCCTTATTTAATTCAATTAACACATCTTTAATTCACTTAAAATTTGAACCATGGTCCATTAACTTTGAAATTTTATTTTCCCCCGTCACCTCTATTTATCTCTCTCCACTTTGTATCTTTTATATGAAATAAATCAATGATCTTGATGCATTCAAAAGCCCCTAGTATGGTTTATTTATGAATGAGTGACCTATCTGATCCATAAACTATATAGTGAGTGTTTGCTGACTTTCTTTAGTCTATGTTGTATTAGCAAACTAAAGATTAAACCTCTAAAAGTTGTAAATTCCTGAGCTATGAAGAAATAAAAATAAAAGCTATCTTATAAAATTAAAACGAAAAATTTGTTTTTTAAATATTTTTTGAAATAAATAATTACAATTAGTATATAGTATTCTAAATAAATTCTAACCTATGTGATACAATTCTAAGATCTAATTTTTTTAAAACATAATAAACAATTAATATATTAAAATATTAAATAAACTACTATAATCTTCTATCATATATATATATATATATATATATATATATATATATATATATATATATATATATATATATATATATATATATATATATATATATATATATATATATATATATATATATATATATATATATATATATATATATATATATATATATATATATATATATATATATATATATATATATATATATATATATATATATATATATATATATATATATATATATATATATATATATATAAAATCCGGCTACGAGCGACAAAATTACAATCCTACAATTTACACAAATTTTTTATAAAAAAAACAGAGTTATTTAAACTATTCACTATAATTACATTTAATTTGAGAGCTAGGACTAACGGCTAACCATAGAAATAATTCTTTGGACTATATTTACAAAACAGCCGATACTCTGTCATTAAAAATGATCTGGTCTCTATACCACCATAAATATCAAGTTATGCAAAATCAAATCAAATAATATGTTTTTTTTAAAAAAATTTCAACCATTTTCAAGAATCATTCTAACAAATGCTCACAACAGTTAACCGATTCACACGGCTGACACTTTAATCTAATTGAAAATCAGCGTCCAAACCAACTGTATTTTAAGATATAAAATAAAAACATGCTCAATAAATTCAACAGAATGAAAACAAAAAATACATATCAAATCGCGTGAATTAAAAATTATTTTCTAACGTCCGTGTCGGCAATATATCCAAAATATTAAGTATAAAAAAGAAACTCAAAATTCTTACTCCGCCATATTTCAAAATTGGATCCTCTAACTTGCACTTTTGAAAAATATTTGAATGAAAACGTTCGTAAAGTCATTTTCTTAGAAATATTCAATAAAAAAAAGAAAAAATTTTAAATTTATTTAAAATGTAATTTGTTTTTTAGTTGAATTCATGAGATGGTTGTGATTATAAAAGAGAGAGAAATTTTTTATTTTATTTTTTAATTAATAAATATTTAAATTTATTTTTTAATTAATAAATATTTAAATTTATTTTTTAATTGAATTTATGAGATGGTTGTAATTATAAAAGAAAGAGAAAATTTATTTTTATATTTTAATTAATAAAAAATTTGTTATTGATTGTGTATAAAAACTACTTATTATGTATATGTCTATTAAAAATTTTCCTTCACTTCTTTATTTTTCTCTCATTTTCTTTTTATCTCTCTTAATTTATTTTCTCTCACATGTAATTTTTCTAAGACTATATTTAGTGAAAGTATCTTAAGTGAATAAACTAAAATATTTTGTGGGCCAAAGTGATGGGTAAGATTTGAAAAATTTATAGTTGATTTGAGTTGTTTTTACTTTAATGATAAATGCTTATAAAAAACTAAAACTTGATCCTATATTTCATATGTTTTCAAAAAAATTACAAGACTTTAATAATATAAATAATAATATTATATGTTTTAAAATAAATAACATACGTTAGTTATATAATTGTCGAAAACTAAAAATTAGTGAATTAAATGTTATGTCATAATCATTCAAATGCAAATTTTTTATAATCTTCATTAATTATAAAAAATTTAACTATTAAAAACATGCATCAAAGATGCTATAATGATGATACTGATATATAAATAAGTAATTACTTTTACAAACTATAAAATTTATTTTAATTACATCAAACTCCACGTATCAACAAACTCCAATAATAAAATACAACAATAATATCCCTATATAGGTCATCAAAATTAATATTCTCTCTTTCTCTAATATCAACCTCTCATTCAACATCTTTAATTTTATAATTTTCTGTCCACTCTAAATACAATCCACTCATTTTCTCAACAACATAGTGTACACACATTTTTGTCCCCAATGATTTTTTTACATATTAGTTTCTCAAATGAGAAAGGAATCTTCAACACATGAAGATACCTACCTAATAACAAAACACTACATTCTATCATGTAACATCATGAAATTCGTTGATGGATATGTCTCTCTTTTTTCTCACCAAATCACAAAAGTACAAGCAATTGTAAAGTTCATAGAGAAGAAAAATATCAAACCACCATTAGGATCTTCATTCAAAAACCAATTTCAGTTATGATTCTTGATCATCAGCTACTTCGTATCAACCATTCTACATCTTCTGATTCAATCTACATTTGTTAAGGTAACATTATTATTATTATTATTATTATTAAAAACAACAAAACACACAAACAAACAACATAGTATCTTGCTTCATATGATGAATAACATTTATTACATCATTTTTTTTTCTCTTTTTTTGGATGAAATGAAAATGACATTGAATTAACAAAATACTGAACCTTGAGAGTAAATAATCATCTCTATCAACTATCAGAGGTTCTTGTCCAATCAACTGCTGCAAAACCTACCTAATATCAAAGAGATCACAAACATGAGAAACCAATGTTTCAACCTGTTACTACAACAAAACGACACATATATTATAAGAGTTAGAAACACCAAAATTTAAACGCTTTTTCCACACATATTTCCCCCTTGGTAGATTTACTGTCACACCAAGTTTCCAACCATGATCATGTTTAACAAATTCGAGTTCGAAAGAGAACAAATTTCCAAGTCTCGAATCACTCGAACATGCGAACAACATTAACATTGATTCAATGTAGTTCATTTAGGACTTGAACCCAAGTTACCAAAGCGATTAGCCAACAAATTGACACAATCTTCATCATCTCTTTGAGCATATAAAATATCTAACTCACTCTCAAATTTCTCACTAAAAAGTTCTTCCCAAAAATCTTCATCAAGTTCTTTATTCAAATTCTCATTGTTCTCAAATACCTCAATCTCGTCTTCTTCCTCTTGTTCTCCACCACCTCTACCAAGCCCTTGCATTTCCATAGCCAGAACCTCCAACTCCGACACTTCAAACCCAAACTCAACCCTATTGCTCGATTCACCATACTCAATAGGCCTTCTCCTCTTCTTAGTAACATCTTCAATCACCTTTCTCCTTTCCTTATGCTGAAGCAACTGCTGAATAAAAGCAGGATTTCTCATAGCTCTAGCCAAAAAAGCCATCATCTGTTGCTGCTTAATCTCTGTCCCTCTTAGCCTCTCCTCCATAGCTTGAAGACAAGATCTCGTGTTCTGTTGCTGCTGTCTCAGCTTCACAAGCTCCATCATTAACACTTGTTTATCGCGCTTCAAATGATCGATTTCTTCGTCTAATCCATAACGACCAACTTCAACACACTGACCAAATGGTTGTTGAGAAGAAGAAGATGAAGATGAAGTACTAGGTTGTGAAGTTTGTCTCCTTCTCTTAATGTTCGCTAAAAGATGCTTATGCCCTCTCAGAAATCCTTCGTTCGCAAACTCCCATTTATCAGGATCGATTTTTCTAAAACCCTGTAATCAAAAATCTTAAGTCCCACATCGAATATTTCAAAAACAAAACTCATCAGAAATGAAATAAATAGAGAAAAATGAGCAATTCCTTCAACCATAGGTAATGGCATAATGGTAATATACAAAAAATGGAGAAATCCAGAAATCAAAAATCCATGACTCGTGATATTAAAATGTTAAAATATTTATATAATATAGTACAGTTCCAGATAATACTATATTTTATTTAAGTTAAAAAAATAATTATAAACAAAACTCAACAATGAAAATATCTGTTGACTTTATTAATAAAAAATATTTTTGGGGGTTATTCGTGAAATGTTAATCAAGATTAATCTTGATCAATGTTGAAATGTTAATCAAGATTAATCTTGATCAATGTTGAAATGTTAATCAAGATTAATCTTGATCAATGTTGATTAATGGGAAAGAAGAATAGTACTTACATAAGTGTTTAATTGTCTAACAAAACTTGAGAAATTGTTGTGTTTGAAGTATCTAGGAAGAAGGTCTCTGGAGAAAGCATTTGGATCCCAAACAACGAAGCTAACACCGTCTCTGTTCCATGAAACTATGTGACTGGTTGTGGGATCCTCGACAACATCGAAAGTTTTTGTTAGAAATGGTGGCGGTCCAACTTCGTGGAGACCCTCCATTGGTCGTGGAACACCAACCATTGATGTTGACGAGGTTGCTTCGAATTCCAAATACTCCTCTTTCACTGGATACAGATAGTTCATTTTAAAATTTGAGGATTCTTTTTGAATTTAATAGAGTAGAAAGAAATTAATTTGATGATGTTTAAGGAAAACAGAGAGAGATGAAAATGCGCGAATTAGAGAAAAAGAAAAAGAAATGATTTGGTGAAATTGAAGAGGAGGAGGAGGAGGAGAAGGTGGAGGTGAGAAATTGAAGCATTGGAGAATTTGGAAAGTAGTTGAAGAAAACGTGAATTGCAATTGTAGTAGATATAGTTGAAGAAAGCTATGGAGGAAGTGTGGTGAGGGGTTATATAGGAAGAGAGAGTGAAGTGTAGTGAGAAAAAAAATGAATAAAGGGGTGTATTATTAAGAAGTTTCTAGACATATTGGAAGCAATATTGTGATATTTTATTGAGAAATCTTTTCCTTGAATAGCAAGTGGATGAAAGTTACATGTGTGTGTGATGGAGTTGGTTCTTTGTTAGGAAAGTTCTGGAAGGTAAATAGGAAGGAAGGATTTGATATGGTGGTGGGGATGATATTGTTTTATTTTATTGTTATTTGTTTGTGGGGATTCATTTGTGGGGGAGAGAGTGGTTTTGATTGGCACACTGGTTTTATAATATTATTGGATAAGGTTATGGTATCAATCATGTATGTATGTATGTATAAATGGGAAATTCAACCATGTTTCTTCAATTGGGTGGTAACACATGTAAGAAGAACCGTATAATAATAATTCATTTGATTTGATTTCAAAATGAAAAATTGTGAAAAATTGATAACCATGAAATTTATGGATTTCTTTTTATAAGTAGAACAGAAGAATGAGTGGATGGAAAGTGAGGTTCTTGTTCTCTCACATGGTTGGTGACTTTGTGGAATTAAGGTAAACAATACTCTGCCTCCAAAATCTTTGGAGTTAAAAAGAAGGAAATTATGCAGCCATGTCACATTCTTGTGGAACAAATGGGACATAATGGATATTTTTTAAGAAAAAATATCAACAAGTGACTTTTAAGAATTTTACTTTCTAATATATATATATATATATATATATATATATATATATATATATATATATATATATATATATATATATATATATATATATATATATATATATATATATATATATATATATATATATATATATATATATATATATATATATATATATATTTGAACCCTAAGAAGACATTTTTTTAATTTTTAAATTATAGTCTTTACTCTAAATTAACTTATTCCCTAATGTGTAAAATTAAGAAGAAAAAAAAAATCAAAACACGAAACTAATTGTTCTATAGTTGTAGATGTAGGTAATTTGACCAAACTATGTGAACAAAACTTATGTGTGTTTCTCTCTACTCTGATTTGTATTTGTGTAACGAATCTAACAAATGATATCAGATGACCCTTAATCTTGGAGGTGCAAAATTCGAAGTGACTCGGTTCAACAGAACAAACAATTTTGATTTATGACAAATGAGGGTTAAAGATATGTTGGCTCAATAAGGTTTACAGAATGTGCTTCGTGATGAGAAATCGATGCACATCGCAACCATTAATTAGAACGAGATGAAAGAGTAGGTTGCATGTTTGATAAGCTTTGCGTTTATGATGGCGTGATGAATCATATTCTGGACCTCACAACTCCAAAGGATGTCTGAGATAAATTGGAAAACCAATATGTTTCCAAGACTCTCATGAACAAATTGTTTGTGAAGCAACGTCTCTATAGCATGAAGATGCATGAAGGAAGTGATTTACAGGCTCATATCAACACTTTCAACAACATCCTCACTGATTTGACAGTGCTTGGTGTGAAAGTTTACAATGAGGATAAAGTCATTATTTTGTTTTGTTATTTACCAAGCTCTTATGATCATTTGGTGACCACTCTCACATACGGAAGGAATACATCACACTGGATTCTGTTTCTTCTACCCTTTTGCAACACACACAACATTATACACAACATTACCATAGTGTAGAGGAAGGTGGAAGAAGTTTAGGTAAAATTTTGTTTGTGAAGGGAGGTTAAGACCTTGGCAGAGGCAAGGGTAAGGTAGTAGGTTTTAGAAAGAAAAAGAGGTTCAAGTCCATGGACAAAAAAACAACACAATTTTATGGTTGGAAGCAAATTGATCATTGGAAGAGGGATTGTCCAAACAAGTTAGGCAGCAGTAGTTCATTAAATGTAGTTCTTACTGATGGTTTCTGCAATGAAGAGGTTTTATTTTTCATTTCATCAGCAAAATGCATTAATTCACGGATCCTTGATTTTGGGTGTTTTTACCATATGACACCACACCGGGAGTGGTTCAACTATTTTAAATCAAGTGATTTTGGTTTTGTTTATTTAGGTGATGATAAAACTTGTACCATCACTAAAGAGAGGAATTTAAAATTTATTTGGATGATAGTGGCGTGCGCACGTCGAGTGATATGTGTTATGTTTCAGAATTCGAAAAGAATTTGATTTCTTTGGGTACTCTTCAAGTAAATGATTATTAATTTGGGTCAGATAGAGATAGAGACATTATGAGGGTTAGAAAGGGTGCAATGACAATGATAAGGGCAATGAGAACTTCAGGAAACATTTATAAGTTGTCAAGGAGCCATTTATGTGTGATGAAGCATCTGTTGAAACTAATAATGATGCAGCCAAACTGTGACACTTGCACTTGGGTCATCTAAGTGAATGTGTGATGATGGACCTACATAAGAGGATTTTGTTGAAGGGTGTTCGCAATTGCACAATTAGATTGTGCAAGTATTGTGTTCTTGGGAAATAGTGTAGAGTTCGTTTCAAGATTGGGAAACACAAGTCCAAGGAAATTTTAGACTATGTTCAATCTGATGTTTGGGGGTCTACAAAAGAACCCTCCGTTGGAGGTTTCAGGTACTTTGTGACATTTACTAAGGATTTTTCTCGTAAGATCTGGGTTTATTTGATGAAATATTAATATGATATTTTTGTCAAGTTCAGACTATGGAAGGTAGAGGTTGAGAACTAGACAGAGAAAAAAATAAAGTATTTGCAGTCTGAAAATGGAGTTGAATACACTGACAAAGAAGTTCATTCATTTTTGTGAGGAAAATGAAATTTAGTGACACTTTTATGTGATAAAGACACCACAACAGAATGGTATTACAGAGAGGGTGAACTAGACTCTAACGGAGAAGACAAGGTGTCTTCGGTTGAATGTTGGTCTTTCAAAAGATTTATGTGGAGCATCACTCAATATGGTATGTTATTTAGTCAAAAAATCACCACATGTTTCATTGGATGGTAAAGTTGTATAGGAGGTGTGGACAGATAACCCTATTAATCTGAGTAATTTGAGAATTTTTGGGTGTCTAGCATATGTGCATATCTCTAGTAAGGATTAGTCTAAACTTAATCCTAAGTCAAAACAATGCATATTTATTGGCTATAATAAAGGTGAGAAGGGGTAAAATTATGGGATATGGTTAAAAGGAAGGTGGTTATCAAAAGAGATGTTGCATTTGATGAGTAGTTGATGTTGAAACAGTTAGATGTGACACCTGTGCCAGATACTAAGGTAGAAAACTCCAGTTAGGACAAGATTCATGTGGACATTGAGGATCCACAATTGAGTTCAAAGTAGGTTGTAGCCCAACATCAGGATGAACCGGGCTCGGATTCAAGTGGAGTGCAATATTCATGTGGATTACAAGACTATACACAATTGTGCGTGATTGGGAGCCCCTTCGTATTACACCTCCAGTAAGATATGGGTTTGAAGACTTAGCAAAATATGTTATTCTTACAAGTTAAAGAGACCTTTATACTTTTTGAGAGGTTATGACTAGCCATTAAAAAGATAGTGGATGAGTGTTATGATGAAGGAGATGGAGTTCTTGAAAAAGAATGAGATATGGGATCTTGTTCATCAATGACAAGTTCAAACAGTATTTGCACTTGTTACATGTTTCTTAATGTTAATAAGGAACTACACACACCCAGTTGCTAGGATATGACATTTTCCGGTAATTTTTATTGGAGTTTGATATTCTCTAAGGTGGATATTGTTGATATAAGTAATGTCAAGTAGACAATGGTACAGTTTACGAATATTATTGTAATCTAGATTATTAATATATATATATATATATATATATATATATATATATATGCTTGTGACACTGAAATTCTAATGTATGAAATTCATAACAAAATAATAACATGAAATTATAGCTACTTTTACTTTATAATCGAAGATGTAGATAATTTATCTGAACTGCGTGAACAAAACTTTTGTGTATTTTTCTATTCTCTAATCTTATATTATAAAAGAAAGAGCTTGTACAAAAAAAAATTATAAATATTAATTCAGCTGTGCTTAAAAAGCATTTGATCATCATAACTAAACAATGAATGTTCATTGTTGAGGAGTATTGTTTTCTATTCAAAAGTCTATCCAAAATTGAGACTCTACATCCGTTTGACAAGTAAATAAGGAAATCAAAGAAAATATGATGAATCCTAATTGTCTTACCTATAACCAAAGAAAGCTATAGAGGAAGTGTTGTGAGGGGTTATATTGGAAGAGGGAGCGAAGTGTAGTCACAAAAACCAATAATAGTGAGGAGTATTGTTAAGAAGTTTCTAGACATATTGGAAGCAATATTGTGATATTTTATTAAAAAATCTTTTTCATGAATAGCAAGTGGATGGAAGTGACATGTGTGTGTGATGGAGTTGGTTCTTTGTTAGGAAAGTTCTGGAAGGTAAATAGGAACGAAGTATTTGATATGGTGGTGGGGATGCTATTATGTTATTTTAATGTTATTTGATTAAATTAAAATTGTATAGGAAGGAAGTATTTGATATGGTGGTGGGGATGCTATTGTTTTATTTTAATATCATCCGATTAAATTATAATTGAATGTGGGGAGAGAGTGGTTTTGATTGGCACACTGGTTTTGTAATACTTGGATAAGGTTATGTCATCATGTATGAATGAAAAATTCAACCATGTTTCTTCAATTGGGAGGTAACATATGTAAAA